ATCAGCAAGTAGCCTAATTACCCAGCAAGGGGTAGTCTCAGGTCCCAGCAGTGTCTTATTCTCAGTTAATCTGCACGAGGATAATTGAGAGTTGACCCTGGTTTTGTCTGAATTTACGTTTGGGTTATTTGACTTCATTTCTTCTCCATTACCCTGCCTAACTGAGACTGTATGAGACATTAATATATGATTACTCTTGGACTAAGAATGACACTTCTAGAGAAAAAATCAGAAATGTACAGTATTTATTCATTGGAATAATTTAAATAATAGAAATTGCATAAATTATGATACAGACATGGAATACTCCGCAGCCATTAAAAATGGTTTTATAAAAGTGTATTTATTGAAATATAAAAATCTTTACAATATAAGAAGCAGGCTACGAAATAGTATGGATAATATATTATTTTTGTAGAGAAATATATATACATGCACAGACAAAATACTAGAAAGACATACATAAAAACATTAAGAATGTTATCTTTGTGTTGTGGAAAAACATTATTTTTTTCTTTGCACTTTTTGGTATTTTCCCAAAACTTCTGCATTAAGCTTGTATTAATTTGTAAATGCAAAAAAGCACCAAGGATGCTGGTTTAAAGAGGGGAGAGAAAAGAGAAGAAGCTGGAACCCTGGGAAATAGCTGTATTTAAGTGTCTGAAAGAGGGATCAACATCTCAGAACTAGCTACTTATTGTTTGATACTATAGTAATTACTTAGCCTTAAGCATCTGGGTTAAAAAAAAAAGGGGGAAAGACACAAATAAATTTTTTTTTTTTTTGTAAAACAAAACAAAACAAAATCAAAACATATCCCTAACTAATATTTCTTGTAGATCTAGCTGTTCCATGAAAAAATGCTGGCTGTAGACATAACAGAATTTGAAGACTTAAAGGAGTCCTTTAGTTTAGGTAAGAAATCTCCCTGGGTGTAGGGAGGTACTTCTGAAATTTCATTAATCTTTTCAGGCCAAATAAGTACCATTGGTAAATGACTGTTGCAGGGCACTAAACGTGTGTGCAGAATTGAAAGAACATTCTATTCTACCCTAAAACGGATTAGGAGTAACCCTCAGGAATGACTGAGCTAGTGCATTTTACAATTTTGGCCATTGCTCTAAAAGCGAGGACAATTTGTGTGTGTGTGTGTGTGTGTTTTAGATGAAGGTTTACAGAGCAAATTAGTTTCTCATTAAACAATACACATTGTTTTGTGACATTCGTTGCCAACCCCACATGTCAACACTCTCCCCTTCTCGATCTTGGGTTCCCCATTACCAGCTTTCCTGTCCCCTCCTGACTTCTTATCCTTGCCCCTGGGCTGGTGGGCCCATTTAGTCTCATTTTATGTTGTTGTTGTTAGGTGCTATCAAGTTGGTTCCAACCCATAGTGACTCTATGTGCAACAGAATGAGACACTGCCCGGTCCTGTGCCATCCTCACAGTCGTTGTTATGCTTGAGCCCATTGTTGCAGCCACTGTGTCAATCCATGTTATTGAGGGTCTTCCTCTTTTTCGCTGAGTTTTGTTTTATGGGCAGGTCTAATCTTTGGCTGAAGGGTGAACCTCAGGAGTGACTTCCTGAGTTAAAAGGATGTCCAGGGGCCATACTGTTGGGGTTTCTCCAGTCTCTGTCAGACCAGTAAGTCTGGTCTTTCTGTGTGTGTGTATTAGAATTCTGTTCTACATTTTTCTCCAGATCTGTCTAGAACCATCTATTGATCCCTGTCAGAGCAGTCAGTGGTGGTAGCTGGGCACCATCTAGTTGTGCTGAACTCAGTCTGGTGGAGGCTGTGGTAGTTGTGGTCCATTAGTCCTTTAGACTAATCTTTCCCTTATGTCTCTGGTTTTCTTCATTCTCCCTTGCTCCAGAAGGGATGAGACAAATGGAGTATCTTAAATGGCTGCTCACAAGCTTTTAAGACCACAGACGCTACTCACCAAAGCAGGATGTAGAACATTTTCTTTATAAACTATGTTATGCCAATTGAGCTAGATGTTCCCCGAGACCATGGTCCCCAGCCCTCAGCCCACTAGTTCGGTCCCTCAGGGAGTTTGGACGTATCTATGAAGTAAAAGCAGGACAATTATTAAAAAAAAAAAAAATCTGATGCAAAGGCCTTCACATATAATTAGTACTCACTCACACTACTAATAGCTATAATGAAATAGTGCACCATGAAATGAAAAAAACTGACACACTTAAACAGAATTTAAACACATTCACATGGGTTTATTAATAAATAAATAAAACACACACACAAATCATTTTTTAAAGTATTATGTATGTTAGGCAACAGGGAATTAGGCAAAAAGGAAAAACTGAAGGTTCTTCTATAGTTTAGGAAACTATACAGAAAATAAAGTCTAAAAGTTATTGTAAAGAGACTTTATTTCCAGATTTTATCAGCAACCCTTTTGAAGTATAGCTTATTCGAATAAATACTTTGAGAAGCACCTGCTTTGAAACAAACTTCCCACCTTGCCAAGTTAATAACTGTTACAATTATGTAAGAATCAAAATTACTTTTCAAGATTTGACTGCAGGTATTTCTTATTTAATTGAACTTACATGACTGTGGAAACATGACATTTAAAATCTGGGCTTAGGTGATATTGAAGTAAACATCAAAGTGCTGTCTGCAATCAAAGGGAACTAGGGAATGCTAGAAAATGGGCATCTATCAGTTAGCTTAACTATGGCCAAAAATATTCTCACTGTGAGAAGGAAGAACCCACAAGAATATAAGCTCATCAAGGGCAGGGATGTTTACCTGTTTTGTTCACCCCAGCATCTACAGTAGTGCCTTACACATAATTGTTGCTGTTAGGTGCCCTCGAGTCAGTTCTGACTCATACAGACCCTATATACAACAGAACAAAACACTGCCTGGTCCTGCACCAACCTCACAATCATTGTTATACTTGAGCCCATTGTTGCAGCCATTGTGTCAATCCATCTCATTGAGGGTCTTCCTCTTTTTCGCTGACCCTTTACTTTACCAAGCATGATGTCCTTCTCTAGGGACTGACTCCTCCTGATAACATGTCCAAAGTATGTGAGACATAGTCTCACCATCCTTGCTTCTAAGGAGCATTCTGGTTGTACTTCTTCCAAGACAGATTTGTTTGTTCTTTTGACAGTTCCTGGTATATTCAACATCCTTCGCCAACACCACAATTCAGAGGCATCAATTCTTCTTCAATCTTCCTTATTTATCATCCAGCTTTCACATGCATATGAGGCAACTGAAAACACCATGGCTTGTGTCAGGCCCACCTTGGTCTTCAAGATGACATATTTGCTTTTTAATACTTTAAAGAAGTCTTTTGCAGCAGATTTGCCCAATGCAATGTGTCTTTTGATTTCCTGACTGCTGCTTCCATGGGTATTGATTGTGGATCCAAGTAAAATGAAATCCTTTACAACTTCAATATTTTCTCCATTTATCATGATGCTGTTTATTGGTCCAGTTGTAAGGATTTCTGCTTTCTTCATGTTGAGGTGTAATCCATACTGAAGGCTGTGGTCTCTGATCATCAGTAAGTACTTCAAGTCCTTTTCACTTTTAGCAAGCAAGGTTGTGTCATCTGCATACGGAAGGTTGTTAATGAGTCTTTCTCCAATCCTGATGCCCCGTTCTTCTTCATATAGTCCAGCTTCTCAAATTATTTGCTCAGCATACAGACTGACTAAGTATGGTGAAAGGATACAACCCTGACGAATACCTTTCCTGACTTTAAACCATGCAGTATCCCCTTATTCTGTTCGACTGACTGCCTCTTGATCTATGTACAGGTTCCTCATAGGCACAATTAAGTTGCATTCTTCACACTATTATCCATAATTTGTTATGATCCATACAGTCAAATGCCTTTGCATTGTCAATAAAACACAGGTAAACATCTTTCTGGTATTCTCTGCTTTCAGCCAGGATCCAGCATCAGCAATGATATCCTTGGTTCTACGTCTCTTCTAAATCTAGCTTGAATTTCTGGCAGTTCCCTGTTGGTATACTGCTGCAGCAGCTTTTGAATGATCTTCAACAAAATTTTACTTGCGTGTGACATTAAGGATACTGTTCGATAATTTCTGCATTCGGTTGGATCACCTTTCTTGGGAATAGGCAAAAATACGATCTCTTCCAGTCTACACATGGTAGACACTCAATAAATAATTCAATTAATGAATGAATCAAAGAGACTGTTCCTGATGTACATTAGGAGCCAACCCAAATTCACTTCATATATCAATACTTAATCTCCTACCTACTAGAGAAGCTGTTACTGAATGACTACAAAAATATGAAGCTAATTGTACTATAATGTACACATCTGAGTAAAATGAATGATAAAAAATTGTTTTTTACTCTTGGGGAGTTCAGACTCCATTGATTTTGAAATGACTGTTACTAAGGAAAGAGCATGATAGTATTATGTGGACATAACATTTCATGTATTTCCATCTTCTTAAATCTCATATCACTGTAAGCAAAACTAGGGGGCGACTGTACAGGTGCTGCTTCCTTCAGACACTGGTGCATCATTTAAGGCATCTGTGCTGGAATCTTCCTGGCAGTGCTAACAGATGGAAGACATTAATCATCTGTCTGGTGTTCTACCTTGTCCATCTAGTTTCAAATATAACTGCACTGAGCTAGACGAGTCAGCATCTGGCCCTTCAAAAGCTAGTGTATCCCACTCCCAAAGCAAAAAGGAAAAAGTTCACACTTCATAGGCCTGAATCAATGCCAGAAGATTCCAAGTTGCCTCAAGGTTGTCCAGACTTCCTGATGATCTTTAGCTCCCTGGATACCAAGGCAAAGACAGATCTGAAAGCTGCAGAAAAACAGGTGGGCTGTCATACACAAGACTGCAGCCACAGGCAATATAAATGGTATTTGCTCACATCATGGATTAATGGCTTTGACGGATCAAAATGCAGAAGACAACTACATTCAACATTTAAGAGTATTCATAATAATAAAGCACTAAAATGTGAATAAGTCATATTTTTATTTTTCAGAAGCAAAAATGACAAGTGGCAACTTGCCTTTGGAAAAGACATTAAAGAATATTGGGGTAATAAGCTATCTATCTCATAGAGATAGTAGCCTTAGAAGACTTTATTATCATACAGCTCTCAAAGAAAGTCCTATTAAAGAAATCTCAGAATAATACGTTTTTAACTAAAACAACAAAACAAAATTATCAATAACAAAAAATTATAGAGAACTCATAAAGTGGTGTGTAAAGAAGGAAAAAGACAAATTTGGAAATTCACACACCGGGAAGGAGTTCTCTGTTAAAATCAAGGAGGCTCAAAACCTAAAACAGAAAAAAGAAATATGTTAAAATACAATATTTTAAGACTTCAACTGCAGATGCACATTTTAACACCTCATTTATTCAGGACATTTTTTCTTACTCTTGGAGCACTTCCGTATACCACAAAGAAATCATATGAATGACAATGCAGATATCTGCCTTATTAATGGGCCCTTCAAGTTTTAAAATTCAAATGTGAGCGTGGAACATCATTTAAACGTTTATATAATAGGCTACAGAGAATGGAAGTGTTTTAAAATTGTATTTGCTTAATTTTTTACACACTGTTGTTTAAAAACAATCTACATTCTTTTCAAAGAGACACAATAAGTTACAGTATGAATAATAAACTTATGTGAAACTATACAACTCTTCTCACAAAGTAAACAAAAAAACCAAACCCGTTGCCTTCCGACTCATAGCGACCCTATAGGAGAGAGTAGAACTACCCCATAGGGTTTCCAAGGCCGTAATCTTTATGGAGGAGACTGCATGTCTTTCTCCCGCAGAGCGGCTGGTGGGTTTGAACTATCGACAGTTTGGTTAGCAGCTGAGCGCTCAACCACTGCTCCACCAGGGCTCCTTTCTCATAAAGTAGGGCTAACAAATGCCAACATGAAGATGCTTAATACAAAATGGTATAGTTGTGGGGAGTGAGTAGGGTGGGTGGGAGGTGGAGAACACCAGTGGACTGTGCAGAGACTTAGATTTTAGTTTCGGTTCTGCACTAATTATGTGACCTTAGTCACAACGTCCGTAGGTCTCAGTTTGTTCCCAGGTAAGAAGAGGCAGATGGATGTCTAAGCTTCATTTCAACTTTAAAACTTAATGAGTCTCTACGGTTTATAAGAAAAAATTTGAAAAACATTTTGGACAATCAGTTGAATATATTCCTCAGATCTTGACAAGGTCTGTCACTGCTCAACAACCATGATAATAACTATCAAGGCATATCCCACAATTTAACTGTGAGAAAAGAGAAAATAAACCTTAAGGGCAAAATTATACTTCATATCTTACTTACCCCTGCAACACAGAAAACAAATGTCTTTTCCTTTACTGGCCTCTAGAAGCACTATCTGAGATAAAGTCAACTGAAAACCTAAGTGCTGAGCTGCTAACCAAAAGGTCCGCAGTTCAAACCCACCAGCTGCTCTGCAGGAGAGAAGACCTGGCAATCTGCTCCCATAAAGATTATAGCCTAGGAAGCCTTATGGGGCAGCTCTCTCTGTCATATAGGGTTGCTGTGAGTAGGAATCAACTCGACAGACAGCACTCAACAACATGATGGTGCCCAAGACATCTAGCCTGTCTTTCTCTCTGCCTGTCTCTCTCTCCAAAACCTGCTAGGATAGTTCCAAGTGAACTCTCACCTAAGAAGTACCCTGTACCCAATATCTAAACATGTTATATAAGACTCCTCTACTACAAAGAATATTATATCATGAAATCATTTTCCTGACAGCTTACCAAAGTCCTTTCTGAGAAAAAGCTGGCATTATTGGAAGATTATTTATTAGAATAAACTAGAGTAATTAAAATAAAATGCTTGTACAGTGAAGCCTGTCACAGCTGGAATTCGATGGAACTGCCTTGATTTTCTGGGTCTCACAAGTTTTCCATCTTTGACAGTGTGCAGTCTTAATCACTTTTCTATTGCTCGTTTTAGTGGAAAATATTTGCGTTTTCTTTCTTGATAGGTTTCCGCCTTACACGGGTTCCAGCTTTAGTAGGCTGTACTGTAATGGCAGAGTCCTAGTGAACCAGGGAGTTGATCTGGGAAGACTGATGGTATCTTTGACTTCTCAAGGCTCATTACCTATTTAAAGCTAAGGTCAATCAGTAATTCTTAAAAGCAGGGCCAAACTTCAGGTTAGAACCAGTGCTTACAGGTAGTTCAGGGTTTGGACTCTATCAACTTTCAGGTTAAAAAAGGAGAAGAAAAAGTATGGCTTAAGGATCATACTGACTCTAGGAGAGATGGACAGCAGCAAGTATCTGCTGTACTGAGCAACCTACAGCACATACTTTCATCATAACCATCATAATAATACGGAATATTCTTTCGCTTTGGTGTTATTTTTTCTTGTGACCTTGTCCTATAACCATCCTCACTGCAAAGAAAGACTCTGAACTGGGCATGGCAGGAGCAATAAACATTCAGAAAAACACTTTTCAAAGGATTAGAGATGTTTCTTTGGCATACGTAGACCCAAGTTTCCTGACAAGCAAAATGAGAGGTTTACACTAGATAATCTCTTAAAATTTCCTATGGTTCTAAAATTCTCATAATTTTATATAGAATAATATACAATAATAAGATTGGATATAAATATCACTTACTGTTTCTTTTCAAAAATATTTAGGGATATAACTGTGTTTTTCTAAATGTTTCATTAGTAATACTCAATCTTATAAGTCTGGTTCCATAGTAATCTATAATGTAACTACTTCCATCCGAAGGTCCAACAATCTAGAAAAGAAAAATTTCAAAATTACTCATTTTATAAAAGATAGTATATCCCTAATACTTTGAGTCTATTTTTCTCAGCTGTTAATAACATTATTTTAGTAGCAATAAAAATCCAACTCAAACCAACTTAAAAAAAAAGTAATTCAGTGGCTCCTGTAGCTGAGAGGATACTGGAGTAGCTCACAGGATCAAAAGAAGAGCTGCAGAAACCAAGGCCTCAAGGACTCTAAGGCTGTGCCCCATGAGGCCCTTGGTTTGGCCTTTTTGCTTAGCTGTTTGTCTTAATTCTGAAGATACACACTCTTAACCGGTATCATGAAGATGGTTGCTAACAACTCCAGATTCACATCTTCTAAGCTTACCAGCCCCCCAGTAGAAAGAAAGCAAAATTTTCTTAACCAGTGTTTATTTGTCAATACCAAGGAAGGACTCTGGCTGATCTGCTTCATTTTTATGCCCATTGCTGGGCAAATTACTGTATCTAAGGGAATAGGGTTGATATGATTGGCCAGGCTTGGTTAATGTATCCATCCATCCTTGCGGGAGACGGAGTACTATGGTGGAAAGCCCTACCAGAACCACGTGGAATGGAAAAGGAAGAGATGGATACGAAAAAAAACATGTTCACTACAACAACTTGTCCACTTAATCACATTTGGGACAACTCAGTTAACATGATCTCTACAAACTGTCTTTTAAGGTAGCAATCTTTAAACTGTAGCCATGGGGATGAACAAAGATTTATCAAGGTTATGTGGGCCTAGACAATTTTAAGGGAATCAGTTTTGAGATCCTTAATTCCCACTAATACTCTTTGTAAAGCTGGTTTTCCTGACATCATGCTATGGTAAAGGCATCCTGCTAGTTTTTCTTCCCACTTCCCCTTTCACTGTGGCCCTTTCTCCAATTTGACAAGGTAAAACACATGTCCCATCAAAGAATATCTTGAGTTTTGTGACAGAACATTGCCCTGAGGTGTAAAAACTTCTGAAGTCCCAAACAAAGGGATAATTCAAAATACTGGATTTAGGAAATCTCCCTTAATCAGGGTCAGCAAAAAAGAGGAAGACCCTCAGTGAGATGGACTGACACAGTGACTGCAATGATGGGCGCAAGCATAACAACGACTGTGAGCATGGCGCAGGACCGGGCAGTGTTTTGTTCTGTAGTACACAGTCGCTATGAATCGGAACTGACTCGACAGCACCCAAAAATAACCCTTAATCATGGCTCCAAAAATACGCTCCCTCCACATCTTGTTTAAAGTATTGATTCTCAGTAACATTTTACTTATTTTTGTTTAAAAATAATTTGCTGAAAATCTTAACATATTTATACTGTTTTGATCAACTGTATACCATCAATAATTATGATAATTCAATTCAGAAACCAGAAATTTTAAAAACATTTAAATGAATAAGATGATCAGTAGAAGATTTTCACGCATAAAAATATACTACATTAGGATAAAATCTGTGGGAGAGGGGAATAGAAATAAAACTTCAAGGAGAACAAGAAACAATGTAAAATTTGTAACGACTAAAGTGTTCATTCATACCCTTTTAAGTGGATACTATTTAAAATGCTGCAGTATTTATTAGTATTTACAGTACTTATATTCTGTGGGACACATTTAAAAATTGATTGCAACAGTTTTAGTTAAATATGTCAATATTTGCAAACGAGAAATTACATTCCTTGCAACTATTTAAACTTATGACAGAAAACTTAAATGTCAATTTAAAAATGTGCAGAGGGTGTGGGGTTTAAAAAAAATTTATTTTAGGGGTTATGTAGCCAAGAGTTTGAAGAGCAGTACTTCAGAGCATTCCTGATTTATAAAATGAATTTTGTTTTAAAAACTATTCAATAAATATTTAATTTCTGCAATAGTCCAGGAACTGTGCTAGGCATTATACACACAAAAGTGAATAAAATATAATCTCTTCCATCAGAGAGCTTATTCTAGTGAACTGCAAATGCTAACATTAAAATAATACTTACAAAGCACTATGCTAGGTGCTGTCATGCACTTTGACTTACTTTGCAAAGATGAAACTAGATTTGATGTTTATGAATGTTATTTACCTTTTTAGTGGCCAAGGTCACAAAGGAAACTACCATGAGCATAAAGACAAGAAAGAGAAGATCGATGAGTAGAAATTACATGTTTTGAGACCATATGGAGGAAACAAAGAAAAGGTAAAGTCCATCCAGCAGTAACGGGCCAAAGACTATGGTAAAAAGTTCCCTAATTTGATATATGTGTATAGACTGGACCTAGGCCTTTTGTCCTATTATTTTTTTCTTCCCACACCATCTCATTTACTCCTAATGAGAAAAATTCCAAAAGTTGGAAATAAGCCAAGTATATGATTGGATGACCTTTTAATATCATGCTTGAGCATTTCTTATAAGACCACATGAGAGTCACCTGACTGTCTCAGGAAATATAACTGTTTAACAAAAAACTGATTTGGACCCAGGCATTTTACAATCGTGTCAAGTTAGATGTTAATTTTAGAAAAATATAAGGTGCTTTTTATTCTTCTGTATTGTAGAGAAGGTAGCCCCAAAGGTTAGGGTCTTATTGCCTGGTAATACATGATCCAGTTTTGTATTTAAATTAGCAATCTTATTACAACATTTCTTTTCCCCCTCACTATGTAATTCTGCTTTCTCAACAAGTTCTATAACGGTAATCCCATTCCTCTTTCCAGAAATTTGTTTAGGTCTACGTGTAACAGAATTTTGGTCAATCAGCTATGAGACAGGTTTATTAGGAGACTTGTTTACTCTTAAGATGTGTTTGAAAGGAAAGTGGTTCTTCTTCTGCCTCTGAAAAAAGTCACTATTAAAGAAGTGATCTAAGCTGAGGACCTGAAAATGGTAAGGGAGGGAGGGAGGAAGGGAAGGAGGGAAAGAGGGAGAGAGGGAGGGTCCTTAATTATCTCCTTAGGCCTAAGTTAACAAATCTTAGAACTACCCTATCTCCAGATTATTGCTATATGATATAATAAACTATCATATTATTAAAGCCAATTTAAGTTGGAGTTTGTTACTTGTAGCCAAAAACTCCTGATAACGCACTTGTCTTCAATGTTTCCTACACACCACTGTTAAGACTACCTCAGCACAGCACTGATTGCTATTCTCTGCTAAAACACTTTGAAGCGCTGCCCTAAAGATGACCAAATTAGTCAGAGTGATAAAGCACTAGATCGAAAGAAATATTTTGGCTTGTGGTCCCATTACTCCAGTCTATGCCTCCATTTTCACATTGCCTTCTCTGTCTGTCTTTTAAGGGCACATGTCATTGAATTTAGGGCCCACCTGGATGATCCAAGATGATCTCATTTCAAGATCCTTAATTTAATCACATCTACAAAGAACCTTTTTCCAAATAAGCTAACACTCACAGGTTCCAGGGAGTTGATGTGGATCTCTTCTAGAGGACATTTTTTGGCCTACCATACCCTCCTTCTATGAGATGGTGGTTTGGAGAGACTGAGTGGAATTTAATTTCTTCTTTCATGTCATTTCTAATTGTTTGCATCATGAAACTGTATTTGCAGTTTGAGTCAAAAAAAAAAAATCTTGAATTGCTTACTCAAAGGCTTTGCAACAGGTGTAAAGCCTAAACAGCAAGAAGAATAGATCAGAAAACAGATAAAACTACATATTAAAATCAAGAATGTTAAGTGTTCACCATATTTACTGTTATTTTTCTGTCCTTTATCCTTGGTCCCCAAAAGGTATTCACACAAATAATGGGCATATACTTAATTTGGTATATGACTTGGATATATATTTATTTTTTTAAAAAGCATAATGTTGTTTGAGTAAAAAAATATATTTTTAATTTATATGAATAGTATTGTGTTGTAGATCTTGTTCAGCTTTAAACTATTTTCACATTACACTATAATTTTTAAGATGTTTCCATGGAGCTGTATGTATATCTAGTTTAAATGCTTCTAATTGCTGCCTAGTGTTACAGAGGATGTATCAATTACCCTCTTGATGGACACATCTAGGTTGATTCCAACTACCTCATACCATCTATGTGCATGAACCCTTATAGACAGGACTATGACTTTTCTGGGATAAACGTCCAGAGTATCTCTTAATCTATTTATTACTTATTTGGGTAACCTACTGGTTTGCTTTGCCCATTTAACTATTAGGCCTCCTATAATTTTCTGCCTTGGAAGAAGTACAGCCAGAATGCTTCTTAGAAGTGAGAATGGCAAGGCTTCGTCTCACATACTTTGGACACATTATCAGGAGGGACCAGTCCCTAGAGAAGGACATCACGCTTTGTAAAGAAGACGGTCAGCAAAAAAGAGGAAGACCCTCAATAAAATGGATTGACATAGTGGCTGCAACAATGGGCTCAAACACAGCAACAATTGTGAGGATGGCGCAGGACCAGCAGTGTTTCATTCTGCTGTACATAGGGTCTCTGTGAGTCGGAACCAACTAGACGGCACCTAATAACAACAACATAACTCTCTTGTTCATTTAGGGGAATTACTCGTATATTCTAGATATCAGCTCCTGCTGTTTTTTGATGTTTCTAGTATCTTTTTACTCAGTCTGTTAACTCTTTGTCTACTGTATCCTTTTAAAATAAAACTTATAAATTTCAATGTAGTCAAATTCGCTGATTTTTTTTTTTTTTACTTTATGGTTTATGCTTTTTGGAATCTTCTTTAAGAAATCTTAATCCATCCAGGGTTATGAAGATAATCCCTTCTATTAGCTATATATAAGAGTGTTACCTTAGTTGAATTTTATTAACGTTGTGGTTTTGTCTGTAATTCATAGACTTATTTTGACTTTGTTAAAGTGTATTTTTGTTTGCACATATTTAAGTAGCATTCTAATAAAAATAAATTAAAAACAAGTGGTTCCCAGTAAGTACTTTAACACTTAAAATTTAGCGACAGATATAAGCCCTCATTAATGGTTCTGCATTGTCTTTGTAATCACACTAA